TCCTTTCATAGGCAGCCATTAAAGAAATATAAAATGTGCCAAATGCAAAATTATGATTTATTCTAACAATCCCAGTCTTAATTAAAAAACTGGGGGCCACCTTTGCATCAAAGTGATTAATGAATTTATCAGGGGAATTGTGTATATGGTGAACACAAACCAATGTAAAAAGTGGTAGAATTGGGCTCCAAATAATGTCTGTGGTCATTTTATTGTACCTAAATCCATGTCCTACCCCTGGAAGTGTTCAAGGCCAAGTAAAATATGCTTGGAGAAATCTGGTCTAGTGGAAGGTGTCTCTGTCCATGGCAAGGGACTGGAACTGGGTGTTCTTTAAGATCCCTTCCAAACCATTCTATGAAGTCAACATTGCCATACACCTATAGAGGCACCTATATCCATGAAAGGTCTCTTACAGAGATACAACCAGGATCAGCCTGATTCTTCCCCATCAGCCTCCATTGGGGAGGAGTGAAACAAAGGCTGCCTCCATCCTCCTCACCTGCAGCTGGACACAAAGCCAACTGGGACTTTTAAATACATAACCTAGAGCTTATTTGCCTGATTTTGGGTGACTGAGAAAGACAACACTTTGAGAAAGTCTGGAAATTCAAGGCAGGGGCCCCAGATTGTCATCTGATGGCATGTAAAACATTTTGATACCTTTAAAAATCATAGAATTACAGGATGTTTTGGGTTGGAAGTGACCTTAAAGATCATCTCATTCCAATCCTTCTGCCACAGGCAGGGACACCTTCCACTAGGTAATGTCTCTGAAAAGAAATATGGAGCAAAAGCCCTAAACTAATGGGATAATAGTACTCAAGTGTTCCAGCCATCAGATTAAGAACTACTTGGGACTCACACCGTGCACATCAGTGTATGTTGCTCATTTGTGTCTCACTGATTCCTTGCTCACAGCTCCCCAAATCCTCTGGCAAGCAGCTCTGTTCCCAGCAAGGAGAAGGTGTGGCAAACCTTAGAAGTTCTCTGTGCTACACAGCAACTAAAATTTCAGAAGGATGCATCACAGCATTCGTCTGAGAACAAATATATTTAGTTGGCATGGAAACAGTAAGTTGGGCTGAGTGTGGTAAATATCCAGCAGTCATGAAAAATCAAGCAAGTCAGGATAATAAACATTAAAAATGAACACTGGCTGAATGCTTTTGAATCATGGCTCTTTTACAATTATCACTCCTGTTTTCATTTGAACATGAGTGAAATCCACTTAAACTAAGCTGTTCCATTTTATGCCAAATACTTCTACAACATCCTCATTCAGATAACTCCTTTCTCCCTTTCTTATAATCTATTTGAGGAAAAAGAAATTAAAGGGCTGGAAATCCCCATTGCTATTCTCCTTCGTTTCCTCAGCAATATTAATGAATTGAACATAATTGATTTTCTGTCTGAGAGAATCTCTCTCCTTTAAGACTATTTTGAGTTGACTGCTTGAAGGAGTATGGTTTGAGTATCTATAATGTTGCTACTTCAGTTTTTTGCAAACACAAAGAACTTTTCCCCCTCTATTATCCCCAAACTTACATCATACCCAATCCACCCCGATAGCTAAAACATTAGAACAAGGAATGAAAGAATAGGGGTTTTTTTCTGAGAAAATTCTTGCTTGTACTTCTCAAAAGAGAAATTCTTGCAGCTTTTCAGTAAACTGAGTTGGGGTTATTATCCTTCCAAAAAAGGGAATTTGAAGTTAAATTAGGTATGTTAAAGAAATCTAGGGAGTAAAGCAAAAAGATCACCACCATGAATTTTCATACAGGCCCCAATTCAGCAAAATTTGTTGCACATGCCTAAATTCCTGAATTCATTAAGGACATGCTTAAGCTCTCAGTGATGTGTGTCATTTTTAATTACACACTCACAGTATGTAAAGTCTCCTGTAAGAACAACTGAGATTTTTTTAACTGTGACTGACAAATGCACAAAGCCATTTGACTTAAGAGAAACATTTTTAGCAGGATGAAAGATATTTCTGACAGAATTAGATCCAGACATGTATCAGGGACAACCAAGGGATACGCTCACCCCAAGAGGACATGATAAGGAACACAACCTAAATGGGATCACTTGACAGAAAGCTGATATCCAGAGCTATGTAGGACTGAGATATAAGAAACTTCCAGGATGCTTTTAAAGGAAATGGTTTGGACACACCCAAATTTCCTAGAAACCTTCCCAGACTGTTTTAACTGTCTTGGGACTATAAATTTAAAAAAAAAAAAAAAAAAGTGAGTTATACTTCATTTGCTGCCAGTTTGCCACTTTCCACAAATACAATTATATGTCTCAAAAAGGTGAACATCTAAATTTTGAAGGAAACATCCAACAGTTTGACATGGGGAAAGATGATGCAGCTCTGAGACTGCAATCCTAAAGTGCAGCATTACTGAACACACGGATCATTGTCCTGGAACACCAGGACAGAGACAGGACAACCTTTATGGAAAAGATAAAATTATTTAGGCTACTCAAAGCGGGAGAAATCCCCAGCACTTTTGACAAACGTGACTGGAACTCATCGTACAGAGAACCACTGGTGAGACAACACGGACACAACGTGATTGCACCTACTCACACTGAAAGGGGACAGGAAAAATAAAGAGGAGAAAACACAAGTTCAGCCAAGAACATGAAGTATGGGAGTGGAAAAGCTCCATAAAAACAGCTGCTGCTCTCCAACTGCAGCGCCACACTCGGCTCTGCACAGACAGAGCCCAACACATTTTCCCCCCTTTATTTATGGGATAGTTTGTCTCTGTCTCTCTGGATAATTATAATAATGAAAGGTTAAGTCTGTGTGATCACCAGAGGGTCACTGTAACAAAGAGTTAAAGCTCTGCAGCTCTGTCAGTCACTCTCGGAGACTGAAGAGTTATAAGGACATTGCACTGAAAAAACAGCCAACATGGAGCACCAAGATACCACCCAACAAGCCATAACGAGAAACAGCTTTTTATTTTTAATTAAAAGCACAACAAGATGTTTTTTCATGTCTCATTCATTTGTTTGTTGTTGTTATAGAATCAAAACACAAGATTTTTCCTTTTAATGAAAAACAGAAGCTGTTTAACCCTCTCTCCTCCTTATTTATAGACATGTAAAAGCTCGGGAAAGTGGCTTTTGTAACAGTGCCAGCACAAATGTCCATGTTTTATGCAGTTCTGATTCAGGCAATCTTTGGTAAAAGCAGAAAACAAGTTACTGCCTTGAATATTTCAACTCCCTGACCGGCTGATGAGTCGTTAACTACTGTTAACACTTGATGAACATGTTTACAGGTGCCCTGGCCAAACATAATCACTGGAAAAGTGTCAGAGCCCTCGTTTTTGCATTTTTCCTCTGGAGAGATAAGCAGAACTAATGAATTAACCAGTCATGGAGAAGACACACTAACAACTTTCAAAATGTTTGTCTACAAAACAGACCAAAGCCACCTAAACAACACCATCCTCAGTGGCTCCAGCTCTTCAGAAAGTCCCAATGGATGAATGGCAGAGCCCAGATCACTGATGAACTTGGACATGAGTGTTACCAAACTCTGCCAACACAACCTTGCAGGAAAAGCTCAGAGATGGACAGTAAACTGTAATTTAAATAACATTTCTGTTCTATCATACTGGGGGAAAACATGTTACTGGCTGAGCTCGTCCTTCATTAATTTAGTGTGGACAGGATAGTTCTGTAGGTTGGTTTGGAGCAGATGCTGAGGAAGAGAAAACCCTGAAGGCAGAAAGGGGGGACCACCCTGTGGATCTGCATGTCAGGCCTTCTACCTCTGTATTTCACAAGTCATTTTTTTGGTTTCTTCTTCTGGATCCTCTCTCAAAATGGGTCAGAAAACACCAAAGAAAAACATAAAAAATGGAGAGATTTGGAAGAGGATGTTTCTCATGTGCAGCCAATACTCTTCTCTGGGAAGGACAAGCATGTCTTAAAGAGCTAATTGTCCTCCTCCTTTTCCAGGAGACTCTGAAGCCAAAATGCAAGGCTTGTAGGCCAACTCACTCACTACACCAAATTCCTCATCAGCTAAAGATGAACTTGGCCCAACATCTGGATTTGGGAGGCAGAGGGGAAAGAGAATGGAACAGTTAATTACTGACACTCCGGAAATATGTGAATGTGAAAGAGGATTCCCATGTGCAAGTAGGACAGCAACAACCATGGAAAAAATATATGAAATTAATGACCATTAATCTTCTACAACCACCTCACCTTATTATTCCTGCAGGTATGGAGTTAGAAATGCTTTATATATAGGATATAAGCTATTGATACTGTTGACTCAGCACCAAATAAAGTTCTCAAATGCTGAAAAACCTGATTTGTATTAGAAATCTAAAGTCCTGCCTGATTCAGACATTCATCACCTGTATACTTGCCTGACTATTTCAATTTAATCTGGTTTGAATGCAGATCATTGACCCTCTGTTCCAAAACTAGTCTGTAAACAACATACACTATTTTGCTCAAAGCACACTAAATCTCTGATTCCACTGAAAGTGTCCAGAAAAATTTCAGCACTATTAATCATATGAAATTGTTTACAGACAACATGTTAGGACAATGAATACAGAAGATCAGGAATAAAGATTATTTTTAGCTCAGATACCCATCCAATTATAATTCTCTTCATACAAACCATTAAACAACAGGTTTGAATAGTCTCAGAAACCTCTATTAAAACAGTACAGCCAGCTGAAAATAGCCAGTACAAAATAAATGCATCATTTAGCAGCCAGAAAAGCCGAAATACCAACTTGCAACAGAGAGCAGGAGATAAGCATTTGCCTGAAGGGTTCAGACAGTTTAATTCTCTTTTATTACCAACAAAACAGAAAAGAAAGCTGGCTGAAAAATCTGCAGGGAAATATGTGCTTTTTTTTTTTTTTTTTGCTCTGAAGGAAGGTATTATCTAAAACCACGGGGCCTCCTTGCCCAAGGGAAGGGGATGGGGAGGGGGCAGCACCCAGTACCTGCTCCTGGGCCTTCAGCTCGTGGCGCTGCAGGTTCCTCTCGGCCGCGTACACCTGACTGCGGTAACTCTCCAGCTCGTCCTGCAAGGCCTGCAACGACAGCAAGGGATGCAAAACACACCCTGAGAAACACGGGATGGCAGGAAAACTCACAGGTCACGTCATTGCACCAGCTGATCAATAAGGTGGTGCACGGTGAGGGTGAGTTCCCAGCGGGACTCGGGAGGTGACAGAGTCACTCTGGCCACTCACTGAGTCGATCTGCACAGGTAGGATCATTGAGTGAACAGCAGTTATGTCTTAATAGTTCTACTTTATTATAATCTGCAAGTATTCATACTAAAAATGTAATAAATACCCTCAATGATTGGGAGATAAAAGGAAGCACTGCAATTGCAACCACGGCATTTGCGAATGTCTCAGAGTTTTGCCGTCGTCTTGTTCAACCCAGGGACAGTTTTGCAGTGTACCAATAATTTTGCCTTTAAGCCAGAAGAATAATCCTCTCTCTGGAAAACAATGCCTGGAATTTGCAGAGAAAATGTATTCCATATTCCTGAAATGGGATGCTGGCCGAGACGAGGGGCTCCCCTCCCGCCCCGCAGTCAAGTCTAGCATCTGATCTACAAATGAGTATAAATGGCAGTGAATAAAAGGAACATTATGATCATGTCACTTTACCACAACTATCCAATCTTTATTTAGTTCAGAAGTAATCACTTCTAAACCAAGCCCATAAAATGCATGGACAAATTTATTTTGTCATTATTGTTCTTCTTATATATTTATTTTTATTACAGCAGTCACTCGGGGCCTTGATCTTTTTGTTATATGCTTAACAAAGGAACAGCGTGCCCCAAGGAACTGATAGTCTATGTTATTTCTAACAGATACACACCAAACAAACAATACAAAGTTTCAAAGATTTTTTTTTTTTTTTGAAAGTTTCCTACTCATTGTTGGATGTTTGAATACACGCTTAACATTTACTTACACATTTACTGAAAGCTTAGTGATGTTGTCAGCTTGAATAAAGGCATTGTTAACTGCAAGTGCTGACTCGAGGCAAAGTGCACAATGTGGAGGGGGGATTGACACCAACACAGAGGCGGCTGCAGCCTCAGAAAGGGAGTATTTTGAGTTATCTTTTGTATGGCAGGAAATGGGGGCATTGATACCCATCAGCTGGGAGAGGCAGGGCTGGACCTGGGAAGGGGCTTGTGCTGGAGATATGCCACTGAGGGAGCCTCCAGTGCTGCTTTTTAAAAAGCTGAGCTGCACCCTTGAATTACAGAATCACAGAATCATTAAGGCTGGAAAAAAACCTCCAAAATCATCAAGCCCAACCTTTGACCAATCCCACCATGCCCACTAAGCCATATCCCAAAATGCCACATCTGATCATTTTTTGAACACATCCAGGGCTGGGGACTCCACCACTTCCCTGGGCAGCCCCTTCCAATGCTTGACCACTCTTCCAGTGAAGAAATTTTTCCTAATATCTAACCTGACCCTCCCCTGGTGCCCCTGCCTCTCCCTTGAGAGGACACACCAACGAGCCCACGGACTCAGGGTACTTTGCAGAACACACCACATGGTTGATGTTTGCTTCCTCCGAGTAGAACACCCCTGAATAACTCAAGATCATTAAAAGTACTCGTGGGGCAAAGATTTAACAGAAAAAAAGCCTTGCTCTTTTCCACAGCACCGAAATACTGTCCTCTCCAATAATTTACAGGATAGAATTGCTATTGAGATAAGAGGACGAGTTATGATAGATCTTGCACGCTGTTTTGAAGTGATGCCAGACATCAACTTTAAAGTCTTATAGCTGTAAGACTATTACATGTTCTGATGCCAAAAATTGTAACCAGACCCAAGCATGAACTTCAAATCTGCCCAGGGACTTTTATGCTATCACAGCTTCTGAGCAGTGCTGAAATCCAGGCTTTGAATGTACAACCCGTGTTCAATACTCAACAAGTCTTGCAGTACCAGGAATTTGCATCAACATAACAAAATATATGTGGGAATTATGTGGGAATTGCAGGCTTTTTGTTTTCTTTTTGTACATCTGATCTCGTGAGGTAAAACACAAACAAGCACACTCTGATTTAAAAACTAAAATGAGCAGGTCACGCAACGTAGAAATGCAATAAGGAGAGGGCTCATTCCATGTATCAGAAATATCACCAAAACCCCAATTAATCTGACAAAAGTGCTGCCATAAGCCCAAAGTGTCCAGACATAACCAGTCCAGGATGACCCTCAGGAACATTCCTGGAGCATGTTTTGGATAAACTACAAAGTACGACCCATCTTCTCCTGCTATTTCAGGATCAGCTTTTAAAAGCGAAAAATAAGGAGGGAGAAAACCTTGCCCCACATCAGTCATCCTTCCCTTGTGCTCAAGAGCAAGTTTGACTCTTTCACAGGACTCTGAAGTCAGTCAAGAGATGGGATGTGTATGTCCAAATGTATGTGTTTACTTACAAACATAAGCTGTGCCTGAGAACAGATTTATGTCACACCCAGCACACAGATCTGCAAGTCCTGAGCACAAAACAGGATCTCAGATTGTTCCTGCTCAAAGACAGCAACCACATGGTGGCAAAGAGAACTGGTGCCCTGCTCTTTCCTCCCTTCATTTCTCCCTTTTTACTTTTCTTCTTTACAACAAACATGTTCTTCAGAGGATAAAATGAGCAGTTCCTTTATAAATCTGAGGGTTTGCAACGCATCTGCAAGTGATTTCATTTGGGAAATTCAGATAACACAGACTTTGTTAGGCTCACCTACCCGAGATGGTGTTTGCCAGCATGGAGCACACGTGTTTTATTTCATTATGAGGGCAGAAAATGTCTTAAATTTAGAAATAAGGTATTTTTACTATGGCATGTAAGTGTAGCAAACTATCAAGTCTTACAGTCATCCATTCACCAGTTGTCCAGAGCAGAATATACTGTGAGCTCACAGACTTTTCCAATCACACCATAACTGCCTGTTGGCAGGTTTTGTACTGAAATGGCAAAAAAACCCCCCAACTAACTCCTCAGATCAATCACAAATACCTCTAACTAGACCCTTTTTGGCCTATTGCTGCATTGCACACATTCCATGAGTAATTAATGTTCATTTGGCTATTCCAGCTTTTCTATCAGCACAATGACAGGAAAAGTAAAACCAAAAGATCAGCATTTGATCAAGGCCGTGCCAAAAAGAAAAAGTAACATCAAAATCTCAGGGTTGCTGTAGATTTCTGTGTATGATTAAGCTCTGAGAAGAGTAATTAGAGCTAAGCAAGCTTGTTGCCCATTAATTTCCTAGGAGGAATTATGATGGATGTCACGGATAATGCACCTTTTTAGAGATCCCATTGAAAGTTGGCTCTATTGTCAAAAAGCTTCATATGCAGTGGCCAGAGCCTGAATGCTGATGGCTATTCCTGAAGGTCCCAGCACCCCCAAATCTTCTGAATCAGACAGGGAAGCTTTTGCCACGTAGAAAACTCTTAAAAACAGAAGAGAACCTACCCCAGTACATCCCAGAACATCTCTTTTGTAAAACTAACCAAAGTTTTGTTCTGTTTAGAAATGCATTTTTTTATTCTACAGCTTCAAAGTGTCACTTTTTGCCCAAAGACTAACAGAACTTATGATTAATAACTGCTGAGATGAAGAAAAACGGATTAAAAAATAAAAGTCCAGGCCAATTTTTAAGTGTCAGAGGCTTTTTTTTTTTCCCTTGAATGGAAACCAAAACTTATTTAGTTAAATTTTTCCAGGTACAGAATGAATCCCTGTCCCTCAGCTGTGCTAAGTTGACTTGCATCACTGTTACACAGTATTTTTTTTTTTCAGTTAAACGGGCTTTCAAATGCCATGTAAACATGTTTGCTGTTGAATGGCTACACCATACCTGACCTTGGAAGTGCTTTGTGTTGGCCAGAGAACAAAGAAATGAAATGTTTTGCTTTCCAGCCCAGATATCCTACACTTTGAAAAGCCCTTAAAAATGTAAATGAGATAATAAGCTCCACTGCAACAATGTGGGTGAATTACAGCTGTAGAAAGGGCACATTCATTTGATTTATTCCTAAAAATGGAAAGGATCCTAAAATAAAATCATATTGTTTTGGTCGCACGCAGCACTGAGAGGCACGAGAAGGATGGAAGAGAAGAGTCATGGCTTGGAGAACACACCACTGGAATATTACAGGCAGATTTTGGGACCTGAAGTGGAGTTTGTGGAAGAGTCCATCACAGGCACTGTGGTGCAGGAGACGTTGGGGACCAGCTGATGTGGAAGGAGAAAGGAACATCCCAAACTCCATCTCTGGGTAGGCACTTTTCCCCTCCTTTTATTCCATTCTGGGTTGGTTATCACCAGAAAAAGGTTTAATGAAGATTATTTCGCCCCCAACTCTGCTCATGGGAGGCTGGAGCCCTTTGGAGACACGTGGAGCTGGTGCATGTGGAGTTGGGAGTGGGGCTCCCAGAGGTGCTGGGATGATGCAGAGGACCAAAAGAATTCAGAGGGACACCTGGGGGAGACTGAGGCTGTGAAAAAGGGTGGTTTTTTTTTAAAAAAAACAACTTGTAAAGCATATACTTTTGACAAGGAGCCCTAGAGAGACAAAAAGGTACGATGGCAGCATGACAAAATCTCTAATCGAGGCAGGAATTAACTTTTGATGTTTGTTGCAGGGCTTAATCTAAATCAGCTAAAAGCTGGGAAGAGAAAGAGTCCTAAGAACCACAGGAACAAGTATGAACTGGGAATGTAGGAAGGATTTAGTCTCTAATATATGAAAACTGATTTGATTATCCTTTAACCACAGGATGTTTTTTTAAAAAGGGTTGGATTCCCTGAAAGGAAATTCAGTTCTGAAGAATTACATAAACAGAAATAATTACTATTTTTAATTTCTTGCTATTGATTATTACTGTGAAGATACTGTATTTACAAATAATGATGTTTTGCTTCTTTGACCTGAAATAATTTCCTACTTTGGGTGTGCTCCTGAGAGTAGACAGGACCTGATTCCTGATTCCATCACACCAATGGCAAGTCTGGGGTCACAATCATTT